ATCTTCCATGGCTTGTGATGAATCACCATGTCTCTGTGCCCACAAAGATTTTAAATTACCCGAAGGAGCCTCAGAATTCGCCTTGCGTTTAGGGCGGGCTCCTTCTTCGGGGTGCTTCCAAGCTGTTCCGATGGAGAGGTCGTTTGTTTAAGCTAGGTGCCGATGCCGACGCTGGAGTGGGTGTTGCACCGTGGCCAGCTGCAGACAACTGGCGTTTGGCTTGACGCAACTCCTGTTCAACTTGTTGCAACCAACGAACCGCAGACCCTTCAACCTTTTTCGGTTGCAACACTTTCAATCTTGAAACAACCTCAGCAACGACAGGACTGATAAAATCCACAGGTTGATCCTGTTTTGAAGGAATCGGTTGTGTGGGAGTTTGAGTGCGATGCAAGTGCTCTCTATACTGCATCCACATCAATACCACTGTCTCGCATGCATTTCAGCAATTGAGAACAAAACGCGGATTCTGCGACCGTTCTGGTCGTGACAATGCCGATGAAGCGTCCAGCGCTAAAAGGACGCAAACTGAATTCTTGTGCTCCATGTCGATCTTGGGACTGCCACCATGAATCTTCCCAGCTTTTCCACTGTTGACCCTTCCAATGTTGTGACATGGCTATACTCAAAGTTAGATTATCAGTAGCAGGGTTTAAACAGGAAACTTCACCACGGACGAACAGAAGTTCCAGCCAAATCATCAAACATAAACACAATCAAACATAAGGGAGAGCTCAAAAATCGTATGATACAGCTGGCTCGACGGCAGTGAGGCGCCACGGATATTGAAAAATTGTGAGTCAAGGTAAAAGGATATGGCAAGCTGTCACTAATAAACAAACAAGTAAGCAACTGAAACACTGACGACACGTCGTAGCAGCAGAATGGTCGCCTCAAAACTTTTGATGAGCGTCATCGTCAAGTCAGCGTTTAATTGTTGGATTGGAGGAACGGCAAAAATGTAGTATGGTGTTTCACACCATCTGTACTTGGCTGTAATTGAGATTCTCATAAAAGCATAATGGAAAACGGAGAACGTAATCACCAGGAAAATTCAAAAAACAGAACAAATCACGAGAACCACGAAAAAATGGAGCTAGGGGCCTTCTCTTGGGAGTTCCATGCCAGGCCTTGTAGCACGTGGGATTGCGTGGAAATTACCCACATGCGTCCCCGCTTGTGGTGGACGCAACCGTGTTTACCTGGCTTTGTCATAGAGATGCACTGGCCCTCTCCTCCTTGGTGCACCACTTCGCCTGTTCCCCAGGCTAAGCCAAGGAAAACTACGCCACATTTGATTCGTAGCGTGAGTAAAAGCTAAGTGAATCACTTCTGACACGTTTCTGTCAGGTGCTGCCCTTCGAGGCGCTGGTGGCATATCCGAAGAAACACCGGCTCTGGTTCTGAGCACTGGAAGGGGCAAAACATAAAAATTGTTGAATTGCCTCCTGCGGTTCTGTTGAAGAACGGTACCGATTGGGATCATGTGAAACAGTTCTCAACTCGTTCCAATCAGTAACCGTGATATCAGCTTTTGCCCGCAAAAACGCCAGATGCTTCAAAAAGGTTTCCGAAGTGGGAAAATCAGGATTCTGTTGCCTGTACAATTTGTCATACAGCGCGTAAACATGATCATCCATCGGTGCATCTAATGATGCCCGTGACACTGGTTGAGGAAAAGCTGTAAAAGGTCGGGATCTGTTCCCCGCGGCACCGATGGTGGTATCTAGTTCTTCTTGACCTGGATCTCCGAGAACTACGTGATCTACGTGGTCGGTGACCAGAAACATGGTCACGATCGAGACCTTCTACATTTGGAGCCGAATTCATACCTGGTCCAGTTGAATCTACTGCCGCACGGTCGGGCTCTTCTACATTGGAGAATATGCCCGGTGGTGCTGGTGGTCGACTTTTGGAAAACACTTGAATTTCTGCCGGTTGGAATCGTTGGTCTTCCCCATGTGAAATCACGGAAGCTATTGGTGGGTAGAGGTGGTCGTCGAGGAGTCAGAATTCTCAAAGCTGGTCTGGCTGGCGGTGCTTTTGCCGCTTGGCGAGTGTAATCAACCGCAATGAAATTTGCACGCCATGGCTCGCAATCAAAAATCCTCACAGGTAGAAAATGAGGAAAAATGACAAACACGTGTCAAACGAAGTTCGAAGATTAAAACTTGGGATATGGAAAATTGAACAGTCGTTGAATTCTTGTGATCATGAAACTAAGCCGAAGTGACTATGCAAGGAGGAACATTCATAGTCTTGCGCTTGCGTTATGTACCGTGGATACATGACGAAGCTGTTGAAAAGCTGTACAGGATGAACAATGGTAATGTATCCGCTGAACTATATACAATATGGGAAATTGAATAAAATACAATTCATTCCTTTGCCTTGTTTCTTTTTGACTCATAGTGTTTTCAGATGAGGGTCCGAAGACCTTTTAGATGAGGGTCCGAAGACCTTTGTTTGGGTAAACCCAAAAGGTTCAGAGTGATTCAGAGAGATTCAGAGAAAATCATGGTACAAGACCAATTCAGAGAGTTTTCAGAGATTTTTCAGTTTTTTACTAGGTAAGCATGCATCAGGAGATCTTAGATCTCCAGGGAAAATGTTTCGCGAATTACTCAGGTTGAGGAACAGCTGGAAAATTAGTTCCCGAATCATATCGTCATGTCAGAGAATCCAGATGGAGATAATCATGATCAAAACGATCCAGGAATATTGCCTTGTTTTTTCTCTGATCAAGGAACGGACATACAGGGTCATCGTCATGGCCGAAGCCTATTCAGAGGAAGGAATTCACACGCCGGCAATCCTTGAGGATTTTTTACCGGATCACGACCGGACCATGACGGAACCTCGGCCGAAGACACACTTGACAGACCATTTGTCGTCTATGAGTCACTTCTTGTTTCCCATCAGGGGGACCTGGATATTCCAGTTTAAGGCCTTTTTCAACAAAAAATTGAAACTGTTCCGTTCAGAAGAACTGCAAAACCGGATTCTGTTGTGTACATACTGATGAAAAACAGTAATTACAGTCTCTCACTGAAACGGAATGAAATGACGAAAAAACAGCAGGTACGTGGAGTTGATCAGACTCCATATCCTAGTCTACTGCATGGAGCTTCGTTGGCGACAGCCATGTAGCGACTCTGTCGCCCCCTGCTGCTAGTAACGAGTTAAAACTTAGACGCCGGAGTAATAGCCCTTTGGTACAGGGGTTGCCCCCACACACACACACATATACACACATACATACGCACTTACATACATACATACATACATACGTACTTACATACATACATACATACACATGTTACATACATACATACATACATACATGCATGCATGCATGCATACATACATACATACATACATACATTCATACATACATACATACATGAATACATACATACATACATACATACATACATACATACATACATACATACATACATACATACATACATACATATGTTACATACATACATAGATACCTACCTACCTACCTACCTACCTACCTACATACATACATACATACATACACACACATACACACATACACACATACACACATACATATATGATCATATAATACAGCGTACAGTTTGTAATACAGTGTACAGTATATGTATATATATACGCGTGATTAGACATATTTATTCAATATGTACGTATTTGATAGTACATATAAATTTATATATATATATATATACGATGTATTTTTATTTACACACAATACAATTTATATATATATATTGTCAAAATATACATATATATATATATATACATACGATACATATATATGTATATGTTTTCAATACATATATATATACACTGTATATACATCGGTGTGTGTATTCATATTTATACACATAGTCAGTATATTAGTTGAGATGTTCCGGGACAAAACCTCCACCTGGCACCAGAACGTTTCTCCAGGTGGGTAGCGGATTGGGATATGGAATTCGACGTTTTGATGTGCACTGGCAATCCACTCAAAAAACAATACTGGAGTACTAAGACTGTAATTCTATAGGAATAATCATGATAGTAATAGTGATTATTACTGTTGTAATGATAGTAAATAAAAATAACAACTAATAATAATAAAAATAATATATATATATATATGCATTACTATTATCATTCTTATTGTTTTTCACCATATTGGATAATGATTGGAAGTCTGCTGTGCGTTGTTGGTCAAGGTTTTAGATCCGAAAAATCAATGGCCACGCAACAGGAACCGAACAAAAATGGAGATACCTACCACAAAATATGGCCTTAAATGGTACAGTACTTTCATTATATATATATATACATACATTATTGTATAAGCCCTGGGGTAAACTAACATAATTGGACGTGAACAACTTATGGTTTCCTTAGGAAAATGTTCTACAAATGGTAGGTAAACTCCACATCTATGTTAGTTTACAGGAGGATGTATGTATGTGTGTGTATATATATATAGTGTAACATGTATCATCATGTCGCCATCCACTATCATCCTATTGTATCTACTGCCTCTTGATCCTGTGACAAATGGATGCATTTTTTTTTGTCTTCAAGGGTTGACTGGGCCGGTCATGTGGCCTTTACGCATGTTCAAACACAAACCCTCTCTACATCAATTGGGTGTGATTCAGTTCCAAGTCTTTTTGTAGAACATTTGGGCATCTCTCCTCTTTTTTCCGATTTCTTGGAAATTTTGGATATATGTTTTAGTTTCTTTCTTTTCAGGTTTCCGAACATTTTGGGGCACAGCCAGCCATGTGGGTTTGTTTGAAAATAGGGTACCCCAAAATCTTATGGTTGTCCAGTTTCCCCAGAATTTCCATGTTTCCGATCCCACACATTTCCAGACACAACCCATGGAAAATGGTCCATTTATAGATGGTTTACCTATTGAAAATGGTGATTTTCCATGGCTATGTTAAAGAACCAGAGGGTACCAACTGATACGACGTTTCCGCAGTGACAAGTTTACCCAGGTTCTGCACGGGTTGCGATCGTGCGCCTGTGGGCGGATTGGGTCCGACGTCTCAGAGGATGTTGTGTACGTTTGTAGTGGAAATGTACACATATGATATGTATTGTGTATATCTGGGTAAATTATAACGACCTCACTGCGACCTCACTGGAATTCAGATATGTATCTTGCAATGTATTTGTTTGTACTTGAATTTAGATTACAGCATTTATATGTATACACATGTGTTTCGTAGTATGTATATCATATCTTATCATATATACATATGTTTGCAGTATACACATGTTATGGTGATATTGATATAAATACAAAGTACCATTGGTATTGTAATTGGTTTACATGTGCGTATATATTACATATACATATATATATATACATACGCACAGTGGGATCAGGGCAAGAAAGCGTTCTTTGCACGGAGGGTTAATGTGGAAGAGGAGAAGCCTTCAGCCGCAGCTGTGCTGGTTCTCATGTGTTTCCTCACTACTTTCTATAGAACTAATCCTGATTTCTTTTGTCTCATAGTGTCGCAAAAGTACCATGCATTCGTCTGGCAGTGATTTTTTGAGACCACATGTGTAAATCATGTGTGGCCAGTGGGGAAAAAAACACATCTTCAAGGACACTTGATGTATGTGTTGTATATGTGATTGGTCGATATAGACTAATACGACCTTCGTTGAAAAAAAACGCCCCAGAAGGTCTATACTAAATCCATGAGTAGGTTGTCACCCCGAAATAATGAGCAGCAAAACCAAAAATGGGATTCACGAGATTTAGTATTTAGTATAAGAAATGCTTTGCACCCAGTGGTTTTTCAATGGGATTCATTGGGTTTAGTATGAGAAACGCTTTGAATCCATTGGTTTCCCATTGGTCTTCCATTGGTCTTTCATTGGTCTTCCATGGGTCTTCCATGGGTGTTCCATTAGTTTTTGAATCCCAAACTTAGGATTTTCCAGAAGGGTGACCACCCATGTTGATTAATTGGGACCAACCCAAAGTAGTATTGCTTGTTTGGGGGATGTGGGTGTTGATTAATTTAGTGGTGCTTATTTATATGAACTTAACATTAACATACAGATTAATGAACCAATTTCAGTGATTGTCAACCAACGTCGACCTCAGGCAGACTACCATTCATCCTCTCGAGAGCAGGTGTCGGCCATCAATTCATCTTGAAGTGTGTCCTACTGGCGAAAATGGAGTACCCAATTTAGAACCAATCTACGGACATGGGGGTTTCCATAAACCGGGGATCCACAATAGCTGGTTGGTCTATTTCATGGAAAACCCTAGAAATTACCCATGGATGGTGACTGGGGGTAGCCCGAGGACTCAGGAAACCGATGAGTACACCAGAAATGCAAACCAACCAGGCTTTTTCGATCATGGTTCAGAGCGGATGATCTTGGTTAAACGCTTAAAAGAAATACGTCAATCTATATAGATTTTACAATATAAATCATAGCTGGTTGGTGGTTTGGAACATTTTTTGTATTTTTCCATATATTGGGAAATCTTGGGGATTTCATCATCCCAACTGACGATTCGTCCATCATTGTTCAGAGGGATAGGTTGAAACCACCAGAGTTAATCCTTCAGGCCCTGACAGCGATGTTTTGCCCACTGCTTCTTGGCAGCCACTGTTTTTTGGGCCGGGTTTTAGCCATGGCTTTTTTAGGCGTGAAAAAAGTGTGATTGTAGGGTTCACTAATGTGCACTAATGTTCACTATTCAAAGTCCCCAGTGACTAAAGTCTCTAAAGTCGGTGTCTGTGTTTGGGATTGGACGGATTGGACATCTATAGGCCCTCTGGCTCAGAGAGTTTGGGGGATCAACACTCACAAATGCGAGGTTCACACGTGCTTCAACCACTTGCTCCTCCCGGACTACAATTCCAAGGCCCAGTTCTGGGGTTTCATCCTGACCTAGCTTCATCGCAGCTCATGGTGGAAAGATGTGGAAAGCAACGGAGCCTTTTTTGTGAGTGAAAAGCACCCAAATTCAGTGGACTGTGATTGTTTCAGCACGTCACGTTGGCTCAGATGAAGCCCGTAGCTAAGTAGGTCTGGTGTGTGTAAAGCAGTGGCTGCCAACTTGTGGCGCTTCTGCACAGCAGCTGAGAGGCAATGAATCAATCCAGGAAAACGTACAATATGTACATGCACAATATATACATATGGGGGGTTCCTAAAATAGGGCTACCCTTAAATCATCCATTATTTTCCATAATTATATCAAATGGGTTGATTCACATAATTTGGTATTATTTTGTGCAGATGTTGTCAATACACATTTCTCTGACGGGTGTTTCTGAGTAGATATACCTGATATACCTGGTCCAAGCAATTTTCCGTGGCTGATAAGCATTCAGAATCGTCAACATGTGCAAAGCCATGAGTCTTCATGAGGTGCGCTGGGATGCGGTTTTGGGATCCCGCAGCTACAGTAGCGGCCCTGTAAGTGGTTCACATCCCTGGTGATCGTTCATTCGGGGGTAAAACAGTTTTTTGCGGCTACAGTCCCGGAGGGTCTAGGTATAGTTCATGAGGTTTTGAAACCAACTGCAACCAACTACTATCTATGATATATATATATATTATATACATTGCTAAGTATATATATATATTGCTATATATATATATAGATTGCATTACCATAGTTTAATGGGATATATGCATACTCTCCAGTAAATGAACATAGACTCATAGACCCTGGCAGACAGGGGTTGGAAGACTAGTTTCCACTCAAAATTGGTGTTCAGGCAGAATATATACCATATCTAGTTGATAAACTCGGCCCATATATAGTAGCGATATACCAAAAATAGTTGGTCAACAGCCCAAAATAGAGACAAATGGGATCCGTTTGCTATATCATATATACAGATCTATCTATATTACAATATAGTTTAGATAAATTACTATATACTGCAACTATATCGTATCTACAGTTATGTATAATATATATATAGTCTGTTCACATATTATATTTTTTCTTATAGTCGAAACTCAACGACTCACCCACACCTGTCCTAGCTACCCCCAGATGCTGCGTCTCCTGTGCCGAGCTGCTCCGGTGGAATGGCGCAATGAGCAGAACTACACCCTGAGACGGCGCGGAGCCAGGGAGAATCGCATGACATCACTGAATGATAGGTATTTTACCAATTTAACAATTGAACATGATGTTTTTTTGGAGGGTTTAACCAACAAGACTGCTGATGTATGGGTGATTGGTAGCGAAGTGGGCTTATGAATCATAGAACTCGAGTTAGGCACCACCTTCCAACGCTCGGAAAGCTGATCCAAAAAACATGCCCTGAATGGGGGTATGGGATATGATAAATACATATACCCTCTGGTAAACATACAAAAAACTATGGAAAATTACCATTTTTAATGGGAAAACTCACTATAAATGGCCATTTTCAATAGCTATGTTAAATTACCAGAGGGTAAATACTACAGATTGACAATGGAGGCTGAAAAACTAAAAAAATGGAATTCATTCAATGGGAATTTCAGCACCCTGGAGCTTTTGTAACCCTGGATGATGAACGGATGATCATTTCAGGCGCGATCTATTCATGAATTGAGGTCCCAAAGATTTTGATGATCTTGGAGGATGGCATAAAACCATTTCTCAAATATCCTCATCGAATCCTCAAAAGTCGTGTATAAATCCCCTTAAAGTCCCACCAAATACACAAACTAGCATGAAATCCCCACGCAGATCTCCAATCACTTAAAATCCAATGTGATCGCCATGAGATCTCTATTCAATCCGATTATCCAATTGAATCAACGTTAAGTCACCATGAAAATCCCCATCCGTCCACAGGATGGTCTTTGGTATGAGCACAGTTTTCCTCCTGTCTGCACTGATTTACTCGCTGGCGTCCGAGAATGACGTAGCATCTCGACGTGACGCAGACTTAATGCCCATAGCCGTCCAAAGGGGACCAGATGAAGGGTATTCCACCGTTGATGGATCAAATGCATCTGCGGAATATGCATTATTATATGACACATATGTACATATACATATATAATCATATATATATATACATTTACATACATGTAATCATCATAATCATCCATTATTTATACTTCACAACAGCTGATTGTTTGTTTATGTTTGTTTACTGTTACAACGGTATGTATTTCTACATCAGTGGAGATCCGTAATAGGACGCCAGCATGAGAGCCTTCACTGTGGCGAACGAAGCCGTCGCCGTGGTGGCTCTGGGTTCAAATTTCCTGCCCCTTGGCCTGACGACTGCAGCGACATTCGAAACAAATGATGGTGATTTGATGGATTTTTTAGCGAATTTCTTACATATGTACATATATATATATATATATATACACATATACAGAGATATGCATATTGAGATGGATATACTCATTTTGGATTATTGATCATTGAGATGATTTTCATTAACTATGGTATAACTGAATTTAACGCAATATACAATTCAACTCACCAGTAGTCAATACTTGCTGTAAGGAAAATGATTTTACGTTTTTTTTTGCTGATAATTAGGAAATACACTATATCCATCAAATCACCATCGTAGTAATATATATATATATATGGCTCGGGGAGGAAATCGGGCGTTCTCAAAAGCGGTGTTTTTGAGAGGTGTGCTTTTCAAGTGATTGCTAATCCGTTTGCATGTTCAGGAGAAGACTGATCATGCGTTATAATTTGGACTGCAAGTAGCTATCTCCCTTATATATATATGTGTGTATATACACATAAGATGACAATGTAATATAGATGATACACCATTAGTTATGTAATATAATTATATACGATTATAGTAACATATTATCATAGATATACATATCAAACTTTAGCAACAGATTATGAGAGATATAAATATCAAACTTTCTCCCCATTGATATTTTTTATGACATGGGAATATATTTGGGAGATATCACAGAGATATCAAGGAGATATGTGATCTAAATCTGATTTCCATGGGATTAATTAGATGATGAATGGAGGTTTTGAGTTTGGAACATGTTCCATATGGCATGGTAAGGTACAGCCCAGTTAAGCGCCATGGCCAGTTGCGTCCATTTTCCAAAACTGAGAGAGACCGAAATGGGTCATATGTATATCTATGATAATATGTTACTATAATCATATATAATTATATTACATAACTAATGATTCGTATCACCTACATTACATTGTCAATCGTTGTCATCTAAGAAAAATACGCCCGGCACGGAATTTCGACCGAGTCGGAGAAGCAACCAGGTCACCAGGTGAACATGGCTGGAATGTCCCCGAAGTGAATGGCTGGAAAGTCAACTTGAACTAAATTGCTAAGGGATTTTCCAGCCATGTTTTTTGAGGACAATCTGGTGAATCAGAATTATGGTTTATAAGATTAGCTTTCATTGAAAAGCTCTCAAACCATTATAATTATAAGTACATATTTTCTGGGTTTATGCACTTCGCTATCGCTTTTCTGTTAATCCAGAAATGAATCGTCACAGCCGGTGGACTCGGACGTCACATCATGTTGAAGGATGTCAAATGCCTCTAAGATGAAATGAGAAGTGTAAAAAACATATAACGGTTGGTTAACACAGAACCATCGCCCCACTATGTGTATATATATATGTATATGTATATTTATATAATATATATATATAAATGCATAAATATGTGTATATATATAATAACATAAGTGTTAGTTAATAACTCCTGAGTGAATCATCAAGAAACCAGCAGCTTCTTTGTTTTTGACAAAAATGGTGCGGCTCTTCTCTTTGTCTCGATTTCAGGTTATTGAAAAGCTTGCGAACTCGAGGGGCTCTGTTAGAGATGTTGACATTTATCGCTGTGACATTGACAATGGCCACTCGGACCTGCGATCGCAGCTTGATCCCGGCCATGTTGTCAGCTGGACATAGCTGGGTCGATATGAGACATTCCCCAGGTTCAAGTCGTTTCACAACAAGTTTTCACTGCGACATTTTTGTTGCGGTTCTCCAAAACACGTCGATTTCTTGTTCATTAGGTGCCATTTTAGTAGAACAATAATCCACACAGGATGGGGCCCCCAAGAAGATAGCTAAGTTACCTGACAAGGGGCCTAGCTTAACTATATGGTAGATATAACGAACTAGTTAATGGGATTTATAAACCAACATTCACATCACGGCAGGGGGCACCATCCACAGATTTTGTTTCGGTTGATACCAGCCATTGATGTCTCCCTTGTGATGGTGGGAATTCGTGTACCATGAAAAGTTACCCTAAAAACCTCATGAAATTCCCGGAGTACCACTAATCAATAATAAAAACTCTAGTTCACTATTGCTAACATTATTTTCTGGTAAGCTGTACATAGCGAACTGGAAAATCATCAACTATCAATGGCATTTTTTTTCAAGAGCTATGTGAAAAAAGACAAATCTGCGTAGCGGGCACCACGTATATTGTCAGTCCCATAGCATGGCCAGGTCAGCACCTACGTCGCGAATGTTCAGGTACCATTTGAGGCCTGGTTTCTCTTGGGGCTGCTGGCTGCTGGCAGCGATGTAAACGTGGATATTTACATGGATGTAAACGGATTGTAAACCATATACATATAGAATGATTTATGATTATATATATATAATTATATATAATTATATATAATTATATATAATATGCGAAGACAGCCCACAATATACAACCCATAATATACAACGAAATATGATTGGTGATATGTCCATATATGATCATATGTATAGACATATATATATACATTTATACATACATATACGGATATAGGTTGGTTCTACCAGGCTTCTTAACAAAGGACGAACATGTGAGGTGAATTAAAAATACCAAACCGTTGTTCAAAGATATCATTTGTCATAATTACAGTTATAAGCCTTAATTGTCACTAATGGTATTAAAGCTCCTGCAACTAAGGTTACATATCATTTAAATGAGATTATAAGTCAGTTTAAGTCAGTTATAACTGTTAAGGGCCATAGCTGTAATTAGTCTCTTTCAACAAAACAAGACTGTGTAGAAAGGTCTCGATCCCTGAGAGAGTGAAGGCATGTATGATTGGACCCCTTGGTTTACTTTTGCATCAATGGAGATGGCAATCCCTCCATTCATGGGAGTTGATATACCATATCATACCATGCTGCGCATTGTAAGGATTCCCATGGCATGAATTACCATACCATATCATATAGGATAGCATCTTTTGATTATGTCACATATGGTTTCTCGACATCCCACACAAAGTATGTAGTGGCTGCAGTGATTTGTTGTCGCCTATCAGTGCGATTTTATATGGGATTTTGGTTATCCGAAACTATCCGAAACTATCCGAAACTACAAGGTTGTTTTTTCCTAGTTATGTTTGTTTGTTTTCCAAGCCACTATTAGTTGCAACTACCAAACAAAAGAATGCTTATAATCGACCAACTCAGCTATAGCTGGGCCTTATTTTCATCCATTTCTTTTGGGACCCAACCGCATCTTGGTCCTGCCGCGCTGCCGCGCCAGTTTCGCTTGTCCACTTTATCGAGGCCAAGGGTATCTCCAAATCCCATCCGATAAACCACCAAAAGGATGGTAGAAAGCCTATAAATAATGGGATAAAATGGTAGAAAGCCTATAAATAATGGGATGTTTACCACCATATGAACTGGTGATTTGGATTTCGCTGGCCCATCCACCGTATGTTCTATATGTTCTTGGCTGGAGACTTTAAAGGGTATCCAATGGTGCATCCAAAAACGCTGGTCAGGTTGCTCGGTCCTCTCGTCCAATGGATCATCTTCCGTCATGGTTTTGCCATGGTTTTGCCCCATTTCGGCAGCAGATGTCCCAATTGTGGTCCCTGAGATCCCCATAATTTCCACAGCCATGGCTGCTCCAGGTCGTTTTCGCAGTTTTGCTATGGCGTAATGCTCATCGGCTTCCATCCAGCATGCTCTTTGGCAACCGAGTTGTCGTTTGAAAACGTTGTACCAGGCGTCATAGGCCTACCTGGCTCCGAAATGAAGGGGGTCGAACTTCAGCTCTCATCGCAGTGGGTCCCAGTGAGCCAACCTTCTGCTGGGAAGTGTGGAGAATGATAGGTGCTTTCATGCGCACATGCTCGATGTACAAATAACATTGACCAACATGATGTAGGTACAAGCATGCCATACATTTACTTGTGCATGGAATTTCATGCCGCGTGTGAAATCATCGTGATTTATCTAGTTTTCCTAGTTTGTTCTCGAGCATATTGAGACCGTTCCCCATGCCATGACCTACCAAAGTGAATGCTATCAACTGAGACTATTGCGCCTTTGCATTTTGCGCGACGGCTACACACTTGACCATGATCTTCAATTTCGTCTACCATGATCAAGGCTGGCTCCAGGGTAGACAGGTCGATGGCTAACGAAAAGGCTTGCACAATACATAATCCAGAGTGCACAAAGAAAAGCCATATGAGTAAAATAATATGGAGCAATGATAGGAATATATACAAACCATTTGTTCAGCTTGAAGGTTTCTTTAATGATCCTGAGGGCAGGGATTATTGGATGAGATCATGTTGCACACTGCAGTCAATTTTTTTGGCAGCGCGTACTGTTTAGTTTAGACTTTATCCAGAGCATTGTCATCGTAGTAGGAACCATTTGAAGGCCTCATGCCCAGGTTGATGGCTAGAAATGCCTCATCACCCCCAAAGTGGCTGACATTGCAGGTTGGTGGGTCCTAGATTTTCAATCTGCCCAGAAAGTTCCTAAACACCTCAATGTGTTGGCACCTGTTTCTCCAGAGTGTTGGTGCTTCCAGATGATAGATTGATGGTAGATTTACTTGAGCATAGTCCCAGATTTCTGCATAAACTCTAGCGGCATCACGTCGCGATGTCACGATTGAAATGATGGTGAATGCACATGGGACTCTCCAAAATGACAAAAATCCACTTAGGGTGAGTTGTGATGAAATTCATTCAGCAAATGATATACCCATTGTACACATTCATATCCCAATAGTATCCCCTATTAAATCCAATTAAATCCCACTATAATCTCATGAATATCCCCTGAAATCCCATTAAATCCCATTATCACCCCTATAATCCTATTTAATCCCATCAAATCCCATTAATATCTCATTGATATATCATTGATATCCCGTTAAATCCCATCGACAATTAGTATAGTCAATATGTGCTTCTTTGAACATATTGGGAACGAAACCTTTTCTTGGTGGTTAATGAATGTGATTCATCATGGCTTGTCATAATTTCCTGAAACATGTCATGACAATGGAGTTGTTTGCTGGATTTTGCTGGTATACTATTCCAATCTATTCCATTTTCAGACACATGGTCTATCATGGTCTTTCATGGTCTTCCAACATCAACATCCAAAAATGATGGCCAATTCCCAACATATATCAACATCTATCAATATCAACATCTATCAGGGTCTAAGTCATATAAGTCATGGCTTCAAAAAATATCCCAGCATCAGCCTCAAGCAGCAACCAGGGCCTTGTCCCCTTGTCCCGCCAGGCGAGGAGCGTCAACCAGATGGTCTTTATCGAGTGACTCGATGACCGACCATTGGGCGTGGGGAAAAAAATGCAGTTTAGGTCTCAAAGAAAATCTAAGTCGTCTAAATCATACCTTAGTTGATATAAGTCTAGTGATACTAATTAACTATTATATATATACATATAATCTAGTTATAAGTACAATATGATTACATAGTTGATTGATTAATGTTAGGGACTTATAACATTTTATAACTATATATATATATAAAAACTGGTTTGTTGAGGGAGTATTACGGCCCATAATGGGTAAACTTCATTGGATACAGGTGTGTCTAAAGGTTTAATTTGGAGATCAGGGTAGAACTACCATTGGGCAATGATTCTGTACATCCCATCTATGGTAACATTAGGGATGGTTGATACTTTGGTTTTATATTAGTTATACTTTGCTCCAAATGGAGATGTATGTTAAACATATAGATGTCTAATTCATGTTTTTGCAGGGTATGATTGGCCTTAGGGTTTCTCATGTACTTGAAGTGGTCCCTCCTGATCGTCTATGATATCTGGAAAACTGAAGGGATAGAGTTGACAGCTTGGTGCCATACCATCATCGACACATGTTCATCTGGAGGTTTCCTGAAATAGGGGTATTCCCAGTCATCATCCATTTTTGTTTGGGATTTTCCATGAAAGAAAGCAACCAGTTATTGGGGTATCCCCATGACTATGGAAATCCTTGTTTATGGTGAGCTGATTGGGATGGTGATCTTGCTTCAACATGTCCCGATGTCGTCCCCCGATGTCGTCCTCCGATGTCGATATCACAAAAAGGCCTGTGGTTTATCTCAGGTTTCATAGGTTTCCGAAGTCATGGGGGATCCCCAAGTCACCATAGGTTTCAATACGATATAAAATGGCCATCCATGACTTGGATGATTTGTGGCATCCCTATGACTTCGGACAGCCCCATATCATGTGAAAATCATTAGTGTGCTTTTCAGCAAGATCAGCAGGCAATCAGGGGCTTGTGGAGGCAGGGAAAAAGGACTGTTTCCCCCATGTTTCTTGTTTTCATGAGCAAAATGAGCAGTGTCCAAGACTCCTCTTGCTTGATGATTAGTTCGAGGATTATACTACCCATATCCACCCATACTGAAGATTATGATGGCAGTTTTTGGGAATCCTTTTCAACCTGGCAGTATTTTATGGGACCACAGAGGGTTTTTCAACACGACTATGGGATTTATGGTTGGGATAGCCGTCCCCCGAGATGATCGTGTACCCTCAACCACAGATCAACCATAGATAACCATAGTATATATATATATATACATATTATATATATAATCCCATAGAGCCATACAGATCATAAGCCCCACCTAAACCCAAAAATCTTCGATTTCTTCGATTTACGACTGTGGGGCTGATCTGTTCCTGGCTCTGGATTTCATGATCTGATCCGGGAATGGGATATCACCATGAAATCCCAAAAATGTCGTCATTAAATTCCATGAAATCCCGATGAAATTCCATGAATTCTCATGAAATCCTTCAAAATCTCAGGAAAAATCCTCAAGTAATCCCATTTTTATTCCCCACATGTTCCCGTTCTTTTGATCCTAAGGAGCTTATCGGGCATATGGTGGTACCACTTGTCTCTGTTGTACGATGGCCGAGTGGGCGGGTGTAATGTGAACTAAGTGAACCACTACTGGTTGGTGGTGACTGGAACCATGGAATTTTATGACTTTCCATTCAGTTGGGAACAATAATCCCAACTGACGAACTCATATTTTTCAGAGGGGTAGGTATATCACCAACCAGACTATGTCGGTTTCACAACTATTTGATAGCAGTGATCTAAAGAATCTAAAGCTTCATCGCTTCATCACCACCACTGCCGCATGATCCCATCATCCTCATCCTCAGCATCACGTTCTTGTCATCGTTGGTGTAATTGTCATCATTCACAAGCTACAATTCATTTTCTGATTCATCCATGAGTCATGTTCAAACCCGGTGCAAGAGACATAAGTGACTGAACGCTTGCAGTGCGCCATTGTCGTAGGTTGACCACATACGCCATATTGCCGAGGCGTCATTTTTCATGATCAACCGTATGAACCTTCAGCTCTATTTGTACCAGGCTGAGCTCGATTGGATGCTACTGGAATCTGACAATTCCAGTTAAGAACGCCGGTCCCTGCAGTATGGAGTCAACATGAGTCAGCAAACAACATCACAGATGTGTCAAACAAACATAATTTACAATTGTTTATATATGAGGGTTTGATCTATGTTTGGTAATGATAATGGTGTCGGTGTTTCTATGACAGGCTGATCATGATTTTCAAACATCGTTTGAAACAACCTATGAACTTCAGGAGCTCATTGAACCTTTATGGAAACTTGCAAAAACTCACCATTCTTTGGCTCCTTTATGGGGGATTCCATAAATGGGGGTACTCAAAATGGATGGTTTATAATGGAAAATCCCAAACAAAAATGGATGAGAACTGGGGGTACCCCTATGACTTAGGAAACCTCCTTTATATCAGACGATTATGTTTTAGTGGTTGTCGGTTGTTAAGATTCGCCCTTTTGGAGCGCTGATTTACAAAAAAGGGGGTTCACCTTGGCTGAATCCCCATTGCTATCACCAACTGTGTAGTTATATGTGTTTGTTCATCACCATAACGCTGAAATACCCTCTGGTAAACTAACATAGCTATGGACAATTAACATGGTTAGCACTTAAATCATCTATAAATGGTCCATTTTCCATAGCAAACTGTTTTCAATTGCCCGGGGGTACCTGGCTTCTATCCTTTTGTGAAGTATCGAACAACACACAGAGCCAACTCATGCGATCCACTGATCCACCTCAGGCGCAAAGCCAACAAGAATCGAAAGCTCTGAGCAAACTTCTGGGACTCTCCTGTGTTGCCCAGCCGCAATATCATCGAAGATGTGTTGTTTTTATTTGTTTTTTCTTTTTTTCGGAGATTTCTGGTGGGAGATCAATGCGACATGATTGGAATTTAGTTGGACATAGAACCAACAATATGATATATGATGATATATGATGATATATGATGACATGCGCTGATATATGATGATATATGATGACATATGATGATATATTAAATAGGATGATATATGATGATGTACGATGATATATGGGTGTGTCTGAAAATGGCTTATAGCCCCAACATTGCCGTTGTAGGGAACATGGGGAATTTTCCACCGTTGATGAACCAACGGGTTAAACGGAGGATCATGAGACATGTGTGCTTCAGAAGTGCTCGTCATTGCTGTGATATGCTGAATGATGGAACCCTTCTGTAGATAAGCCAACGGCATTGCAGTACCATGTATCTTATGGAATGAGTATACATAGTGTATAAATTGGAAGTCAATAGATTCAATCCATAGTCAACCACAAGTTGAAACGCCGAATAGAAATGGTCAGCTCCTCATGTCTTGTTTTTTTAGTGCCTCACGTGATGCAAAAAGTCCGAGTTTGAAGATGTAGTGAATGGAGATGGCCTGACACTACCTGCTGGCAGCGCATGCATCCAGTACATACACCCATCAACTAATTGCATGTATGCATACAGACATACAGACATACAGACATACAAACACCCAGACATGCAGACATGCATGCATGCATGCAATGCAATATTTCATTTTACGTAGGTATGTGTATTAGTGACCTCGAAGAACACACAAACCATTGCATTAATATATACATACATACATATATATATATATACACTATATAATACATATTCCTGCAAAATGATTATTATCACTGTTTGAACAGCTTCGAACACGGTATGTATTGTGTATTTGTTGTTTTAAATTGAATTGACATGCACATCATTCAAACCTTCCACAGTATAGACTTACCACAACAGAGCCCGCCATGATGCGCTTTGTTTCATCACCAGGTAAGTATTCTGACACGATGATACACCACGCGACAGCATGTGCGTCCAAAGAAGAACAGTCTGCACTGGTAAGGTTTTGATCATACACATATGTCTGTGTCCATCTATCTATTTGTATCTCTGTATCTCTTCTATTTGTCCATGCAACAAAGTGTCCGTTGATCTATCTTTTTGATTAATCTTCAATTTATCAGTGTAGTTGTTCTATCCATCCATATTCATATTTCATCATATTTCTATCCGTCAATCCATCCGGCTAGCCATCCATAAACCTTGGTCCCAGTGCCCCTTTAAAAGTCATCTCCGCAATTGCCCAGGATTTTGTGCTGCCGTTGCACGCGAAAGGTGGTTCGGAGATCTGCATTTCACAGGTGAAACCCGAATTGAAAGCCTACGACTCTTGGTTGATGCTGGCGATCAAGCTGGCGATCGGGAAACTGTGCTAGACTTTTCAGTGTGATTTATTGATTGAAGCTCTACGAAGTTGTGGTGCCCTTTTGAAAAAGAACTTGAAGCCAAGATATTAATGTGTTTCATGATGTTTAATGTTTGTCGCTGAAGGGACGCACTGTTTGCAGACTTGAGGAAACGCGGGTCGATGCAAAGGCCGAGAGTGGTCGTAAAGAATTTTTCACCGTCCCACCAAAACATCCACCACTTAAATGTCAAATGTACATGTTACCTTATATAGCCGTATGAATGTATATGTTTTTTGAAGTATATGTAATATATGTCTGGTATCAAAGGTATATGATGATACACACATACATACAATTATATACAATTACATACATACATACAATTACATACAATTACATACAATTACATACAACTACATACAATTACATACAATTACATACAATTACATACAATTACATACAATTACATACAATTACATTCAATTACATTCAATTACATACATTTACATACAATTACATACAATTACATACAATTACATACAATTACATACAATTACATACAAGTGCATACAATTACATACAATTACATACAATTACATACAATTACATACAATTACATACAATTACAATTACATACAATTACATACAATTACATACAATCACATACAATTACATACATACATACATACCTACATACATATTTACACATACACAATATTACATGTATATACATACATATATAATATTATTTTAGATATTTTGAGATAATTCCATACACTCATACCACTCTAACTTCAGTTTCTATGAAGAACACGTGGCAACGGCCGAGGTGGGAAGTGTTTGTGAAGGGGACTCCATCCGTTGCATCATGGCCGACGTGACATGGTGGCATTGGTGCCCCATTGTGGGTCAAAATTGGGGGACCAGAGATTTTAGCTATGGAAAATGGACATTTATAGTTGATTTACCCATTAAAAGTGATGATTTTCCATAGTTATGTTAGTTTACCAGAGGGTAAACATCCAATTTTAGAGTACAGTACGTGTTTTTAATCAATGATCACAATCATTGGTGGGACTGTTGGGTTTATTGTTAAAATTTGTAAATATAAGTATAGTAATGGGTTTTCCAACTTATCCGAAAACTCAAGCCAAGATATGTCAGATATGTTCGGACCCGGGGAAAGCTCCAATCTTGAAGCATTGCGCCAGAACTCAGACTCTTCTCGGTTTCTTGGATCCGACGACGGAGGATTCCTTCGAGGACTTCAATCAGCACGTTGAGCAATTGGCTCCAATGCAGCCATTGCTCTTACCCGTGACTTTGCCACTTGGAATTGGTCGGACTGGAGTCGTTTTTCGCGTTGGTCTTCAAAACGGGATAAACAACAGCCCCAACTATGAAGGCATATGTTGCGGCAACATACAGCAACAACTTACATTGAAGATCATTGAAGGGCGATGTTTCGCTTGTGACTCCAGATTTTGCTCGCTTGCAACTCCCAAATGTGCTCGTTTGCAACTCCAAACAATGTGAGACTCATATCCAAACAATGTGCGACCAGAATAGTCAACGTGTCGGGATCTGAAGAGGTACTAGTCTTTTTGGGCCATATTAGAAGGTTTGCAAGTGCCAGTAAAAGTTAACATCCCACCCCACCTCACCCCCTGTTCAACGCGTATATGGGCCCTTGGTTTGAAAATGCCAGTGAACATCAACATCCCGGACCCCACCTACCCCACCCCAACCATTGAACAGCCACACCTGTGACACCTGTGCCATGTGACCCAAAGCTCAGGAAGACGATAAGACCAACGTCGCCCTTCTTTCCGAATGATCTTAACCGGGATGAAAATAACACATTGATGATTACAACCCCTCCAGTTTAGCAATAGGGGGTAAGAATTTTGTAATGTGTCACTTTTTTGGGGGTAACCCCTGCAAAATTCGCGTCAGGGTTTATTTTTTCCAGGGCCTAGGGTTGACATGATTAGCATTTTAACACATGGCGCACCAAGGATTTTTTACAGGATGTATTAACGGAGGTTTCCTAAGTCATAGGGGTCCATTTTTCATCCATTTTTCTTTGGGATTTTCCCTTATTTTACCATCCAGCTATGTGGGTAAAACCGCACCCCCAATTTAGGATAAACCGTCCCTAGGAAGTCTGGTTCATCTCCAATTGCGGCTGAGATGTTGCTGGTTCGTTGCTTGGCGAGAGGTGAGATACGACTATCGTTAATCTATGTACTGTATCAAGCTATGGCATATGTATTGATTATATAAATATATATTTATATATTTATATGACTATGTATTACACCAAATGTATCCAAATGTAAACTCAATCTGTATAGCTACATGTATGATATATAGTATTGATTATACATTGTATATGCAGGCTCTCTCGAACGTTTGTCTCATGTCCAAGCGTGTGAGGCCGGACCACTTGCCGACAAGTATTTTTGCGTGCAAATAAGCCGTTTCCGTACATTGTATATATATAATATTAAATATATATATATAATATTAAATATATATATAATATTAAATATATATATATATATAATATTAAATATATATATATATGATATTAAATATATATATATATAATATTAAATATATATATATAATATTATATATATACGCAACGCCTGGGCTCCTGTTAAACTTCTACATTCATTGAAGATCTTCAATAAGGGTTTAATTCTCCCACCCCCGTTACACTTCTACATTCATTGGAGATCTTCAATAAGGGTTTAATTCTGATGATGATGATGATGATGATGCGTCGCCTGTCGTCATTGCGGGTCCGGGCAAAGCCCAGGCATTTGCCGTATAAATATATATATATATATTCCCCGTTGGAGTTACTAGTACCAAATGAAGGGCCTAGTACCATTGTGTAAGCTGTTTCTGTACCAAATCAGGGGGCATTACCCCCAGGCTAACTTCCAAGGGGGATTATATATATATATATGTATACACACACAAAAACATGTTCATATTTCTTTCATGGTCCAAGGACTAAATGTCAACAAACTGATTCCATCAGTCAACAAACTATACATAGGATATTGATGCACATTGCTGTACCCTGACGTGTACTTGCAAGAGATGACGAATCAGATTGGATTGCAAAATTGCCTGAACCAATTGCAATCGGGCGCCTGCCGCCCGCGGGTTTGAACTGCCATCATGAATTCTACCATGAATTATATAGGTGCGTACACGGTATGAGTGAAATGTAATCAATCGAAAGTAGACCTACTAAGTAGACATAAGATCCCAGAAGATCCAGAGGTTTCGGGTCATTTGGCACATTTGGATCCACATTGACTCATGTTTGCACTGAGGCTGTCAATTTTTTGATGATTCTGAGAAGTTTTTGGCTGCTGGGCAGACCGGGCGTGTCTGAAAAGTGTTCACAGGTGGTTTGGACACTAATTCGGTGATGCGTCAGGACCTTTTTTTTTTCCTATGATATACCCTCTGGTAAACAAACGTAGCTATGGAAAATCGCAATTTTTAATGGGTAAAACAACTATAAATGGTCATTTTCAATAGCTATGTGATCTAATTCATAGTATACTTGGTGGTTTGGAACATGTTTTATTTTCCATAATATATGGGATAATCCTTCCCACTTTCATACTTCCGAATCCTCAAGGCCAATGCCAAGGCAAGTTCTGCAGTGAAGGAGAATTCTGTATACACATTGCATGATCCGCTGAATAGATAGGTGATTTGTGTAATGATAAATGAATTAATTTAAGTTTTTTGCCAAGTAAGTTTCAACGCTGAACTAGAGTATGCAAGTGGCATGAGATTCTGGGATGTCAATTTTTTCGATCTCAGTCGTTCCACAAGAAGTAGCGCGGCATACTGGTTCTGAAGCCACAAGAGCTGAGGAATCCAGCATGTGATAGTCTATTTAATTATCGCGATTTACCTCCCAAAAATTCGGGTTTTCGTGATGAACCAGCCACAATTTAATTGGGCGTGTCTGCAAATGAGAGTATATCCATGTACATCCTCCAGATGGCCATTTCATAGGGAAAATGATTCGGCCTCATATTTTGGGGTACCGTATTTTCAGACAAACCCAATCGGCAGATTGTATCAGCACCCGACCCAGTTCCAGTCACGGCTCGGGCCCAGCCCGTGTTTCGCGCTCAGGTTGGTGTGAGAATTCAGGAGGTGCGCAGTTGCAAGGGGGAATATCATGACATAATGGGATATACCCTCCAGTTTTTTTGACATACGGAAAACCAGCATTTATTAGTAGGTAAATCCTCATAAATCATCTGCAAACGGTTCATGTTCCATTGCGAATTACCAAATGGTGTAATGAGACATAACAAATATAGATACAAATGGGAAAAAATAAGCGGCCATTGAACTTGGGATAAAATTATCAAATAGGGTAATGAAGAGAGTTTGAGCAGTGGCTGGGACCTGGCCCTGTTGATTTTCTGTTTCGGCCCTTTTTCCACCCACCCGATATATTCGGGATTGTAATCATCCATTCCGGGAAATCCTGTGAACAGTGAACTAAGGAAAACCAATCAGCAAATACCGTGGACGATATCCAGTTTTGTTCGATGTTTCATGATGTTTCCCCATTTGTACTTATAGAGAATATCGATCGACACATATATTTATGGAATTTTATGGACAAGATTGTTTCTTTTGTTTGCGGCAGCTGTCTTTGAAGAGGACAGAATTTTATGTGTCACTAAGATTTGGTCCCGCCCCCCTTTTTTGTGACACAAGTCGCAGACCCAGATGTTCTAATTACAAACAATTATTTTGCAAGGATAGTTTGTCATATTCTGCCTGACTTTCAAGATGACCTTGTTGTCACCTATCCCCACATATTATGAAATATAAAAAAATATCTACGTTGTAAGCACGAAGTATGTAAATATTATATGTATATATATATATATTGTATATTATTATATCTAAATAGTTACTATTTCAAGGTGGTTGAGTCGGGAAAGCAAAGCGCGAGCCTTTAGGAGATTGCTCCACCTGATGCCATGTCGATACTTCCACCAGGACTTGAGACTTGGACAAAATGTAATATACCTGGCGTTACGAATATATATATATATTTAATTATATTTATATATACACATACCCAGAGGATCCATGTATGGTATATATATATGCTAACATTGGGGGTATATTGATGGGATCCATGTTACCATATATAGCATACATGGATCCTATGGGATATGATTATAATATAATAGATGACATAATATTTGATATAATATATAATATAACATTTAATATAATATAATCTCTCAGTCTGCATATATATATACACACACGTAGCTGTCATAGCTACATATATGTAATCATACAGTAGCGAGAGTTGTTTTGTTTAGTAACATATTGAATGCTAGTCTATTCAATAGTGCACTGTGTCTTGGTGATAGATGGTCATGTAAAGAGTATTTTTAAGACCAGTTTTAGGTATGAGTTACATTCATGTTGTTGTTGGATTGCTACATAATTCTGATGGAATGAGTGGATGATTATTTACCATAGTACAACTGGTTGCACATGGGTTTCAACATTGTTTTTTCACATGACTTAAGACATTTTGCACCTATCTGACGACAGGTGGTTTTTGTAGTGATCCAGCTCTAGAAGTCGCCAAGGACAACATGCGTCCTGCAACCCGAGAGTTCCGAGAAGGTTTTCTAGGCATTTTGCCGGAAGCCGAGGTGGGATCTGCTTCATGCACTAGAGGTGGGATCTGTTTACACAACCATTGGACCACGGTACCAAACAATATACCCTTGGGTAAACTAACAGTTCGATGTCGATTTTTTTCGCCATTCGTAGATGATGAATTTCCTGGAGAAACCATATGGGTTTTCCACATCCATCTTTTTGTGTACCCTAGGGTTTGTGCATGGAATTTTGGATACCTATGGTATATTAAGGTTTAAACATGTTTAAACGCTGAACATCACAATTGCATCTTGCATACAATATCCTTGCATTTGAATAAACAATCTCCTTGCAGAATTTTCAATGACCCGTCTTATGTTCGAACGAAGGCCTGTGTCATGAGTTCAATGCCACCGAGTCTCCAGGCCTATGAAGATTCAGAGCTGAGATCGGAAGCAGCATTCACCACCAAGACCGGTGCATGGATGCAAAGGTCTCATTTGAAAATGGTCGATGTGGGATTTTATGAGGATTTATATATGTATACATATTATCTCTCTCTATATATATATATATATACACGTTTATGTACATAAAGATTTACATACTTGTAGTACTTGTAGACAATGATAGATAAACCCTGTGGATCCAGCCGCAGCTTCTCAGGAGGTATGACCGGGATGTGATGTAAGCATCTTCTTACAATTTTACTCTATGCCTGTATCCATACAGATATATACATAGTTATATATATAATGGGATTCAGAATCAACAATGGGGACTTACTTATCAAAACTGGTGCCCCACACATATTCGTTGACGCGTGTTGGTCAAGTTATTGGCTACCCCTGCCCCCCAGAAAAAGCAACGGGATCAATGGGTGTTCATCCAAGGCATGATCTTCAACTGCAGCAAACCAAAAGAGGCCTGGCGTGTCTCGGATTGTCTTGGCCTCGTTCACTGACGTCAGGACTGAACAAACCAGCTGGCGCCACACACAGTGGTGTTTTTTGGGTTTATAAACCCCAGTATGGAACTGTAGATCTGTAGAATTCTATAGATATATCTGCCATATGCTATAGTTATCCTCATTGCCTGTAGACCATATTAAACCAGCTTAGCTGTTCAACCCCCCCGTCGACTGATGATTATATGCGGTTGTCCTTTATATATTGATGATTTTCACAATCCACGAACTGGGAAATCCGTTCTAAACTAACCAGTAGAAAGGGAGAACAGAGGATCTTAAACATCGTAAACACAATCAACGAGGAAATTGGGAATTACGAGCTAGCCCATGATGAACAGGATACTCATTTACCAGCAGTTTTTCGATGAGATGATTTGACCAGATCAAAACAAAACCACCCCCAGTTGGGTTTCGAAAAATGGTTGGGTTGACGTAGGGCACGTGTAGAAGGGTTAATCTTAGCCATCTATTGTTAGGGTCATTGAACTAATGAGTTATCTGTTATCTATACCAATTCGCAAACTGTGACAAATTGCCACAGGGATCCAGAGGGTCTGTTATAAAATCAGCCAAAAACCCATGAAAAATTCAACCATATTCAACATAAAGATCACCATAAGATGCTGAAACTCCCATAAAACTACCATTATCCAACCGTTTTTTGTGGCGTTTATAGCGGCGCCGCTCCTCCGCTGAGGAAACATCCTGCGGCTGGGTCGAAAGGAGCATTGGTTGGTCCCTGCGGAGAATCTCTCGGTGGAGCCATCGCAGATTCTGGGCTCAGGCGCCGGATCTGTGTTGATGTTTTGTTGAGATGCTTTGATGTGCCAATATTGTAGATATATATACTGTATATATATATACACATACATATATATATATACATACATATATATACACATCGACTATATAGATCTATTTTAACTCATTGTTTTAACATGTGTTTAAATGTTTTTCTTTTAATGTTCGTTGTTCATCTTTCCAACATAACATAGTATTACTATCTTACTTTAACATTACTATACGATTCTGTGAAATCATCATGTTGAACTTGGTTAATATGACATACTATTACTAATCATGGTGCTATTGATTTGTAGTTGTGATTCTTACTAATACTAGTCCGCTTATTATGCTTTCTGTCCATCTTGCCTATTTCGTCGCAGGAGGATTCGGCTTGGTTTGTGAAGGAAAGTACTGCGCGAGCCCCAGCTTGGTATTTTGCTTCCAGTTGGCAGCGGCATTGCTGCGCACCCCCGGTCACAGCATCATCCAAGGTTTTTGGGTTGTAGTTCCCCGCCTTTGCAGCTGAATAAAAATGACATAGTTTGCAACATGTTTGATGGAACAAAAAAGGAAATATACGGGTAAATAGGACATTTCACCTCTTGATCTACCCAGTTTTCCCCTAAAGGTATTTCTGGCTCCAGGGAGCAACGCTGCAATATCTCATAAACAATGATATGTCAGCCTCAAATTCAAAAACATGCATTGACACATGTTTCTTCAACAAAACATGATAATGTTTGCATGTTTGATTGGTTTCATGTTGGTTTCCATAGTCATTTTTGGGTACCCCAATAGCTAGCTTGTTTATTTCATGGAACATCCCAGCTCTAAATGGATGATGACTGGTGGTACCCCTATGACAAAACGGAAACCTCCGGAAACCTAAGAGTGCCATGACCAGCAGCGAGGTGGAGCCAATGTGGCTGTGAAAGTGCCGCGCAAGAGCTTTGACACCGGCGATGGTGCCAGGGAGGGAGGACACGACACAACTCACCGAGGGAAATGGTAAATGAACGAAAATCAGAGGGTAAAACAGCATGTTTATTGGTGCTTGGGTCTAGTTATATATATATACATGTATGTATATGTATGTGCACATGTATATTACCAGACCAATATTTATAAGAGATTAATGCATATTAATTGATGAGATGGGATCTAGAAACCAACACTAGATTTCATCCAGCTATCGTCTGAAAACGGAAGAAACAACACCCCATTTACGTCATCGCCGTGATGTTGGGCTACGCGATTTTCCGGATGACTAACAACACGAAGAAGAAGAATAGCAGCAGCAGCAACAACATCAACATCAACATGCAACTGGGAGCAATGACGAATAAATATGAACTGGGAGCAATGACGAATAAATATGACCATAGGAAAATCATGGATGGTGAGGCGTTTCCAAAAATTAATGGCTCACAGGTGGGATGAAGCAATGGCTCCTTCCGCGTCTATCGCCCATCACAAAACAGAAATCCGGTCGATTAAGTAGTATGATTTATCCATTATATATGTGTATATATGAAACAATGACAATGGTAATTTACCGCATGTATGTGTATATATTTATATAATATCATGAATCACTTGAAATATCATAATTTGTACTTCTCATGATATGATAATCATATAATCATTGGATATATATATATATGTGTAAGGACATCATAAAATGACATGCGTGGGTGACCGGACGGGCTTTTCGTTTGACAGGTCAAGAGGCGGCATCTGCAGCTGCGATGCTCATTGACTACCTTCAGGACCGGGGCGTTGCCGGGAGCCTATGGATAAGGATATGGGAAGGGTCAAAGATCACCAAATGGCCATGGCTATGGGTCCTAATTCACCCGATAGATGGTCATGTCATTGTTTACTAATACCAATTATGATAATTATGGTCATGTATTCAGCTTGGTATACCAATATATAATTACAAATACATGTCATATATGGTCCCGTCCTCCGTCTCTCCACCCCCCCTCCCCCCCCAATGGGTTGGGTCCCCAGGTAGCGCCCCCTTCCCTTCTATTTGCAAGCTATTGGCAGCATTTCTAAGGTCCAGCTTTGTATTTGCTAGGTCTTTGCAGCATTTCTGACTACCAGCCTCGCATTTACTAGGTACATGCATGTACATGCTACCTTTTAGGCGACCTACGCAGCACACATACTCCCTCAAAGTACCTACGTGACGCCTACGTGCTACCTATAGTCATATATGCATGTGCTATGTATCTACTGCCTATTTACTACCTGTGTACTCTGACAACACTACTACATGTGTTTAACATTTACCGTACCTACCATACATTCCAATGATGCCATGCATACATTATGCATACCATACCTATCATACCTATCATACATACCACACATACCATACATATATGAAACATAACTACCACACTTACCATACATACAATACCAAACATACATGCCATACATACCATACCTACCTTACATAGTAACCATACGTACCATACAGACCATACATACTGTCATATCCAACATACCATACCCAACAGACTTACATACCATACCTACCATCCGTACAATACCAACCATTCATACCATACATACCATACCTACCATACATACCATACTTTCCAAACATGCCATACCAGACCGACCATACACACCATACATACCCAACATACCATACCACACCCCCACCACACCACGGGGGGGGGAGGGGGACAGTGCCACAGCCCCACCAAACCACAGGGGGGGAGGGGGAAGATCTCATATGGGGGCAATATATGGGACCCATCCCATGGGGGGGAGGGGGGGTGGCAGGGCCTGGTGCATATATGGTCATACGTTCAAGCACCAATAGCTTAGGCCATTATGGTCTTTGAGGCCTAGGGCCTAGGGATTCACCATGGGGCCCCAGGTGGGAACAACGTCGTGTAAAACTTGATTGATTGGTTTTAAGGATCAATCAACTCATAATTCATCAACTCATTATATTCGTTATATACTTGGATGTAACATTTATTGTAACATAAAAAAATCTTTGTTCTGCTGACATTCAGGGTAAAGATCATTGGATCCAAAGCATTCTTAAACAGTTCACTCAAATTCTGGCGTTTCAGGAGCTGAGGCTGTTGCGGATTGCAAGGCATCCCAACATTGTCGCTTGGCAGCAACCCGGGCAGCTTGAGTCGAGGATGGCTCCAAGTAACAACATGTAGCATCAAGCAATATATATATACAGATACAGGTTTATACATTAAAATCATATACAAAACATGCATATTATATATATACATGCACATGACATGATCCATTTTTTTAATGTTCAGCGCCTGACGATGAATTCATCAGGTGATCTTCTACGGAGCCTTCATGGCTCCAGCGCGGGGAGAAGTGGCGCTGGTCTTCGAGAGGATGGAAGGCCCCACGCTGGATCTCTTCGTCGCAGGACAAGGGATGGAGGGATCCCTCAGCACGGACGGATGGTGATTTCAGTGATGATGATATACGTTTAATGTTAGTTTAATAGTGTTTAATAGTGTTTAATATTAGTTTAATAGTGTTTAATAGTGTTTGATATTAGTTTAATAGTGTTTAATACTGTTTGATATTAGTTTAATAGTGTTTAATACTGTTTAATATTAGTTTAATAGTGTTTAGTATTAGTTTAATAGTGTTTAATTGTGTTTAATATTAGTTTAATAGTGTTTCATAGTGTTTAACATACTGTGAACTATATGTTTAATAGTGTGTATATATTTGTATATATATATATACTATTGATTTATCGATATACATATATATATATATATTTACTAATGTTTAATTGGATGTTCATGAGATTTTCATGGAATGATCATGGTTTGTTGAGTTGTGTTTTTTGTAGGCTATCAATGGTTATCAATGGAGATTAGTGGGATAAAACATCAGATTGATGGGATGTAAAACTAATAACATTATATTTGTGTATATTTGAGAATTGGGAGTGACCAGTTGCGGCCATGAAATAGTGAGGAAAGTGATGATAATCCATAGGTCAACTGGGCATAGCCTATTTTTCGACAAACCCATTTGGGGTGCATGGATAAAGATTGATTTTAGATGATTCTGTGTCCAAACATGGATGTGTTGAGATAATCATCATATACTCGCCGGTAATCAAACATAGCAAGTGGAAACCCCCATTCAGTTCGGTGATTTTCCGCTCTATAAATCTCCATTTATATAGTTCGAGGATTTTCCAGCCACGTTTGATGACACCGGAGGGTACAGTTCTTAATTCGCGAACACGAATTATGATGGAATGCCTGGGGATTCCCATGGTCAGCTTGTGTGAGTTTGTGCCACTGCCAGGAAATGTGGCCGACAGCTACAAAGCACTCATGATGTTGCTTGACAGCACAAAGCTTCCAGCATGTTTCCGGTGCGCTAGTGAAAACCATAGGTTTTTAGTGATGTTTCATGGCTTTTAGTGTAGTCCAATGGGATTTAGCCAACGAGAACGATGATTTTATCGTGAGCTAAATCCCTATGAGATGGCCCGTCTAGCTCCATGATTTACCTATCAAAAGGAAGGTGATTTTCCCATGGCAAACTGTTCACCAGCCAGGTAGCCCAGCCACTCGAAAAAAAAACGCCCGGGGAGACGCATTGGCAATTTCAACATTTTCAACAACCCAGTTTATTGATGGTTATTACATATGGTTAATGGATGTTAATGGTGATTTAACCACTACTTGTAGTTTTTATCATCAGTCTGCAGCTATATTTCATAAGTTTTAAATTATGCGTTGTTGCTGTCATTACTGATACACTTTATTACTATATAAATATCACCAGCATATTATTTGGTTATAGTATGTTATAGTATACATTGGGGATTCTCAGGAATCCCCACCAACCACAGAAACAGACACTGCCGTCTTGGGCTGATCCGAAATCCACTTGCTCGGTAGCTCGACAGCCGGCGGTTTTCTTCGCTGCCTCGGTGGACTGGAAAACACATCTGAGTTTCATATGGATGTGGGTCAAAATGGAAGACCTAGGGGACCACAGATGTTAGTCTAGTTTAGTTTCCACCATTGCACCATCCAATTATTGGGGTACCTAATTTTGAACCATACCCATATCACAATGTCAGTTTAAGTAGGTTTAAGTGATGTGTATTTCCAGTGGTCCAGTACACCATAGATATCACATGATATCACCATGTTTCTCAATGGATTTTGAGCTTCACAAGACACGACCCAAATGTCGGCGTTTCGACGTCGTGACATCTTTCAGGCTAGACATTACGCATGCGCTCCTCTACCTTCACAGTCTCAGGTTTCGCTTGATTCCCATTCAATGGGGATATAATCCGGAAATTAACATGCTTTACCCTCTGGTAAATTAACATAGACCCTGAAAATGACCAATCTTTAGTGGAAACTAGTCTTCCAACCCCTATCTGCCAGGGTCTATGTTAATTTACTGGAGGGTAATTATCATTTTTTTATTAGGGCCAAACAAACTATGAAACGAAACATATGAGGATATGTGGGAGACAGGATAGTTGATGGTTGATGATGGATAATTATTAATTATGGGTATAATATCTGGTTGATTGGGCATTATGAACTGACAAATGATGGTTTGGGAACGGCCGAATGGCGCAATTTGGATTTGCTGATTGGCTTCATATCGGGTCACGAATCGTTACGAAGAGACCTTCAACAGTAGCAAGGAACCTCCAAGTTAAGGGTCCAGAATGGTCCAGATATGTGGGCGTGTCAATGGATTATGCATGAGTATACTTACAATGATCTAAAATACCCTCTGGTAATTTAACGTAGCTATTGAAAATGACCATTTATAGTGGATTTTCCCATTAAACATGGTGATTTTCCATAGCTATGTTAAATTACCAGAGGGTAATTGTGTTTTACTGTTGACCAAATTTGGACCTTTGGGGGTGCCATATCTTGAGACCAATCCAGTGGGATGGATGCGCTGGCGAGATCATCCCGTATACCTCCAACGGAATAGGGAACTTCTACATATGAAGGTTTCCTAAGTCATAGGGGTACACATAAATCATCCATGTTAATCGGATTTCCCATTATAAACCATCCATTTTGGGGTACCCCCATTTATGGAAACCCCCAGTGGGACCATTCAATGGGGGTGTCGAAATGGGGCATGGGAGCGATGGGATTATCGAAATTCATCCAGATCCTGCTGGTTCCTGCTGCGCCTGCGGTGCAGACCTCCCATTGTCCACGGCGACGTGAAACCGGGCAACGTCTTTGTGGAGTGTCGCGAGGTGGAGATACTGCTCGCTTTGTCACCCTAAGATGTGAACATGTTGTTCAACGTGTGGAATAAAGAAAAGCCCCTAAAATCACACACAGGCCCCAAAGTTTGCCCAAGCCCCAACTACCAGTTACACTACATTATCAGACATGTTCTGGACGTGAAGCAATACAATACCGGCATCAGGATTTACATGAGGTTCAGGGTTTGAGGCTTATGGCTGACCATGATGATGGTGATGATGATGGTGATGATGATGATGATGATAATTAATTATTATTACTAGCATGTTTTTTTTATTGTCATGGATTATGATGGTGATGGTGATGGTGATGGTGATGATGATGATGATGATGATGATGATGATGATGATGTGATGATCATGATGACCATGATTACCATGCTGACCATGATGAACATGATGATCATGATGATTATTATGATCATTATGATTATTATTGTTACCATTACCATCATTATTACTATTATTTTCATTATTATGATGGTGATGATGATGATGATGATGATGATGACAATGAAGATGATGGTGATGATGATGATGATGATGATGATGATGATGATGCTGATGATGATGGTGGCGATGGTGATGGTGATGCTGATGATGATGATGGTGATGATGATGATGATGATTATTATTATTATTATGATGATGACGATGACGATGACGACGACCACGACCACGACCACGACCACGACCACGACGACGACGACGTCGACGATGTCGATGACGGCGGCGGCGACGACGACGACGACGAGGAGGAGGAGGATGATGATGATGATGATGATGTCGTCCTCGCACTCCTTGAAAAATAAACACAATCTCACCATCAATCACCCATACCATTGAAAAGAAAACATGAGGTTCAGGGTTTGGCGTTTAGAGTTTACGGTTGACCGTGATCATCACCATCATCATCAGCATCATCCATCAATGAGAGTCCGGGCAAACCTCAGGGCCTTGCTGTAAATTCAGCATACTTGGGTGTCCAGTTGGGGTTATGATTCATAGTGAGTATAGCTATTGTGATAACCCCCCCAAAATTGGGAGATAATATGAGATAATAATATTTCAATCCTATAATAAATGTATGATAACAGATTATTTACATAATCCTATTATAAATCGGGTTATAATAAATCTGGTTATGTATTGAATTCTCCGCTGGAACTGCGGCAAGTAGAAGCCGCCAGCCTAAGGTGGATCCAACAGGAAAATCCGTTCGACCCAATTGTTTAGGTTCCAAGTAAAATCTTGGGAGTGTACCTCAAACACACTCAACCTTGGGGTTTTACACCAAGCATTTTGTGGGGATATTTCCATGGGATATCTAGGCCAATATTGTAGATTTGTTTGTCCCCTTTTGGAGAAATCATACGAAAAATGAGTTTTCACTAATTATAGGGTTGAATTGGGTACCCTATTTTCACATGTCTGACTGTATAGTTCATCGAGTTTGAGATGGTGAACTGCAATCATCCATTCTGGGGGGTCCAATAGCCATGCCATACCATCTTGATATATGTACCATATATATATATATATATAAATGACTATACATATATATATATATAATTATACATACCTATATATGTATATACATACACATGCACATTTACGCATAAATTCACCGTTAAGTGTTTGCAAACCTTTTTATATGGAGGATTTGGGGTATACTTAGAGATGAGTCAAAATGACTGGTCCTCAAAGCCTGGCTTCAGAATTATAAATAAGTCACCGACAAAAGGCTGAATTTGCTGCAAGCCTCATCCACTGTAGATTAGAGATTCCATTCATTCCATTGAGCAGATGGGCAGGCAGAAATCCACCACATGTCTCCCCATTGGCCCATGGCCAGCCCCAAAACCCAAAAACGCCACGAAAACCGGGGGATCAGGGCCAGATGGTCACGAAACTCGCAGACTTTGGCTTGGCTCGGAGAATCACTGTGTCAGCTGCCACCATGGGAGGTGCCTTTCGAAACTTACGTGATGCCATCCAAGCTGGTAACAGTGGTTGCAGACACCGAAGTTATGGGGAAGTCACAGAAAGGAGAATGGATGAACATCGGAATATACCTAATGGATCCTAATGGACTACAGTGTATATATATATATACACAAATTGATATGTACATTTCACCAACAATATGATATTATGGCTGCGTCTGGTAATTTCTCCCAATCTATGGCCATTGTTTATATCGACATTATGATAAACAATGGGATTTTTTTGTGTATCCAATTTTCAGACAAACCCAAAACTCTAAATGTAAGCTTGTCTGACTCAATCTTGAAATAATACATCTACTAAAACTCTTTCTAAACGATGTTCAGCAAAACTGGAGATCTTTCTGTTACCAGGTTTGTTTGCTGTCATTGTTCCGGCTCCCAAAGGTATGGTCAAAACTGTTGTTGTAGCAATCCCCAGACACATTCAAGACCTCTGACATAGAGTCAATACCTGAACCAGGGGCAGAAGTACCTTAAGTACATCTCACTATATATATATATATATATTTAACCCGACGTTTTCTCCCAGTGCCTTGAAGTTCAACTTATTCTCTGGTCGCCAAGCCCGGGTTGATCAACTCAAAACTGACCTTTTCAAAGTGGCCGAGATGCGAATGTGTTTCATGAGGGGAAAAAATGGCAATCTAATGGCAAGTTTTGATGGTATGAAAATGTTAGTCTACTGAGTCTACTGATGGTTTAATGTTTGTTTAGTGTTTGTTTAGTGACGGTTGAAAGATGTTTTAAGATTGTTTACTGATGGTTAATTGATGGTTTAGTGGTTCTATGATTATTTAATGATTGTTTACTGATGGTTTAATGACTGTTCAGTGATGGTTCAATGATGGTTTAATGACTGTTTAGTGATGGTTAGTGATTGTCTAGTGATGCTTCAATGATGGTATGAGCTGAAAACATTCTGCGTCATCATCTGGTTGGTGGTTTCAAACATTGTTTATTTTCCATAATATATGGGATAATCCTTCCCATTGACTCATATTTTTCAAGATGGTTCAAACCACCAAGCAGTTATTTGGTTTCTTGGTGTTTACGATGGTTGATGTACCTGGAAAGACATCGGTTATAACCCTGCCAGGTACTCTCCGCTGGGCTGCTCCGGAACTCTTGACGGGCAATCGCGGCCCATCGTTCCTTGGAGCGTCATCGAAACCGGGCGTTCCTAGCCTCTGGCAATGACTAACGTAGCTATTGAAAATGGCCATAGAAATAAGTGATTTACCCATTAAAAAAGGTGATTTTCCATAGTTTTTACCCATTAAATGGCCATTCATAGTGGATTTACCCATTAAAGATGGTCATTTTCCAGTTCGCTCTGTAAACGTTGGCGCGTTTTTAGTTCATGGTGGGATGACCCATGGCCCCAGGACGGCAGCAGATATCTACAGTTTGGGCCAACTGATGTATTTCATCCTCACGAGCCGTCGACCATATTCAGGTGCCTCATGCGGAGGGGGAGGGGAGCTATCTTTTTTTTTCGTTGGTGGTTCATGGTCATATTCGACGTGTCTCTTCTGTATTCATGTTTTATGATGATACATGATATATAACGCATTTTTCAGGGTTACATATTATGTTCACTGGTATTGTTTTTGTACCCCCATTTAACTCCTCACGCACTTGCAGCACTTTATTTTCAGATACACTCGCAAACCTCGCTGTTGTAGATGGACATTGCAAACGGCGTTGAGTAAGGGTAACTAGACTATCCCAAATTCCAAATGGCCTGATTTCAGGTTGGCAAACGATTGTTGTTTCTCCATTAATGCGGCAAACGCAATGAAATAAACCTACAGATTTGGGGATGACTTTACAACCCATTTATCGCAATATTGGGGATAGTATGGACAGTGCATTTTTCGGTTTACCACTGAATATGATGTCTCGTTGCCTATATGATACGGTACGAATAAAAAACCATCATATCGATTGTGTTTAGTTAAATTTATGTACATCCCATTATTGGTTTACCACATAAAAGAAAACCACCATTGCTAGTGATTCCGGTTCCACTTTTCTATGACATAGTATGTAAATATATATATATATATATATCATACTAGAATTCTTTTGCATCACACTGTTTGATGTGTACCAATTAAGTCCAGTTGTCTCCAGCCGAAATAATTATTGCAATTGACTCTCGCATACACATATAAGGCGTTAACTCATCAATGCTAAAACATCAAAAACATAATCATAGCCATATCTAAACTATCCTAACATACCTGTGTATGTTTTGGGACCTGGGTGTGCTGCCTAAATCCAATCGAGGCCTCTCCCAAGCTGAATGCCAAGTCGCCATACAACGTGGCTGAAGCCTTGGAATCGATGGGCAAATGACGTGTCAGATATGACATGTCGATACGTACTTATTGAGTATATATACTGGGCTCTGCCATATATATATATACATATACACATACATGTATATATATAATTATATATATAATTATATATATATATATATGTATACAAATATGTAAATATATATATATATATATGTTTACATACACATGTAATATAAATATATAGAGATGATCAAATCTCATCGATCCAACTTGGCAAGGCCATGATCCCAGCGAAGCATGGCCTTCAGGCGGATTGCTGGACCCACCATGGGATTGGTGAAAACCCACGAAAAAGAAAACACTATAATACTATAAAGCCATATAAAGCCATATAAATGGGATTTAATGTTATATATCAACGGTTTAAAAAGGTGATTGGTGATGTACCGTCTGGTAAATTAAGTTGTTGACCCTGAGAATCGCCAATTTTTAATGGAAACTAATCTTCCAAGCCCTATTTGGCAGGGTCTATGTCAATTTACTGGAGGGTAATGGAGATTTAACCATCAAATATGGGTTTTAACCAACAGAAATCTTGGAATATGATATAACTGATAAAGCATGGTTGATTGGTTATGAAATAGGGACTTATATACTACCTATTTTATTGGGGATTATGATAACCCATAGTAGGAAAACCGTTTTCAACCAACTAGTATTTCATGAGATGGGAAAACGGGGTATTTTGTTCATGGCTCAACTGGAGCAGCTTGCCCTTTTGCCAGTTATCACTGACTTATACCCTCAAGAGAAAGTGATACGTTTGACTGTTAACTTGCACCAGCTGGTGGGGAATAGAAAAAAGAAGCGTTTCAGCATGTGTAGGGAATACGGATTCACCCTGTGAAGGTGAAACATGTTTCAAGTGGGAAAACCCGGATTTGGAAGCTAGCAAAAAACATGACCCAGGACCCAAGAGTTGAAAAACCTGGGCTTGTAAATTTCAAAAAAAACAACTCAGAGGTGCTGCAGTCACGAGGACAGCAATGTAGAAATGAAGCATCTGAATGGACTTTTGATTGTTCCCATGGTGAAGAGAGAAGTGTCTATATATGTGCTCGAAAATGAATCGGAGAAATCTTCATGCTGAATGAAAGTTGTTGGTTCTGAACAGGTGGTGTTTCATTCCTTTTGGTCAAACTTGAACGAAAGTACTGTATATATAGATGAAACAGTTAACAACATTTTCCAGCAAGAATTGACAATTTACCATCATCAATTAGCATTCATTCACCCTGCAAGGAGATTTGCCCATCCAGAACCGATATTTTTCCATTCTACATGGAGGTTGATGCATCCTTTTGGTGAAATTATGTCTCCATTCCGAATGGATATTTATCTGTTCTGAATGGTTGTGGTTCCATTTTTTTGATTAACATGAAAGATTCAAGATGCAGAAACACTATTCTAAGAAATGTGAAAAAGACCAACCAAAAAAGGACTGGATACGTCTCCATTCTCAATCGTGGTTTCTCCGTGTTGCAAGGTGCTTCCTTGTTCCAGTTTTTTTTGGCAAAAAATAAGCGACAAAAGAAAGATTGGGGATTGTTGCATTCTTCTGCTGAAAAATGCTGAAAATGAAAAGAAAAGGCCAAACCTCGCTAGTGGTCATATCAGAAACTTCCAAGAACATATGCATATATATATATAGTTAATACATATGATGACCATGTATCTAATATGTAAACAAGTATAATCTCATACATTCAATAGACAAATCCCTTGAAATGAACATTAACATGCACAAATTGTGTTACAAACAAATAAGCAAAGAAGAAATAGAAGTGTTTTTCTCTAATTTCTACTGTGTATATATATATATGGTTTTTCAATCCAGAATAAATATTCCTTCACTCAGGCTCAGACTGGAGATTTCTTCAAACAAAATGTTTATGAAAACAGCAACACAGATAATATTGATGGAGCTGTTTCCAGAGTGAATATGTTTTGAATTTCAGAAGTTAGACTGGATAAATCTCCATTCAGAATGGAACAAGACATATCTATTTGGAATGGAAGAAAACAAATCAAAATTAGAATGGAGAATTCTGAATAGAGAAAAATAATCCGTTTGAATGAATAGAGAAATCTCCTGTTAGAATGGAGAAGTCTCAATTCAGAATGGAAAAAAATCTCTGTAGATATTTTTTTCAAAAAAAACTCAAAACACTTCTGAAAAAAAATGAATGGAGAAATATCCATTCAGAATGGAAATTTCTCCATTCTGAATGGAGAAAATTCTCTGTAGAGATTGTTTTCAAAAAAAAATCAACACACTTCTGAACAATATTTGAATGGAGAAAATTATTTGTGGAGTTTGTTTTTCAACAAAAAACGCTTCTGAAAAAAATGAATGGAGAAATCTCCAAATCTCCATTCTGGATGGAGAAAATTATATGTAGATATATGTTTTAAACAAATGCTCAAATCACCTCTCAAAAAAAACACTTGAATGGAGAAAAATCTCTGTAGAGATGTTTTTAAGAAAAACAGAGCACTTCTGAGAAACATGTGAATGGAGAAATCTCCATTCAGAATGGAGATTTCTCCATTCTGAACGGAGAAAACTCTCTGTAGAGTTTTTTTTTT